TGAAGCATGGATTCGTCATTTGGCATAACTTGCGTTTTGACAAATCAAATGTCGCTTTTTTGAGTTTTTTGTTGCCAAAATTGTTATTTGGCATTTACTGAAGCATGAAAAGTGCCAGAATTTTACAAGAGTCCCGAAGGGTTGTGGTACACAACTGTACATACGAAGATTGGGATTGGTAGGCGTGGCGTTTGCCTTATTTTTTCCTTGATTTTTGAACCATGGGAAAAACACAGTAATTGTAATGAATGACTGCGTGTACCTGCTATAGGCGAATCATACCACGCAAAGACTGCGGACGTGTCGGCGTCTCTGTCATCGAGCGCTCTTTCGTTTTTCTTACTATCTGCTGTCTCTCCCATGCACGAACTATTTTGGCCGGACGCAACGGCGCCCAGTCTTTGCGCGTCATAAATCGTGTTTACACGCAGGAACAAGTAAGAAATTCTTAGAATTTTTGAGAGCGAAGATTTGTTTTTGCGTCAAGAATTGCTCACAGTTGGTTGCACACTTTGCCTCAATCACAACCAGGGTCAAGCGTGGGGTGCGGCACGCCACACCTGGGGGGTCGTATTGACGAGTCAAAAGGGAAGGGGTCGTAGTTGGGTAATCTGATAATAGTGATAATATGATATTCGTATCCTATCCATAATTAGCATGTCAAAAAACCCTTGTAGACAAAGGATGAGCGAATTCTGAAGATTCAAGATACTAGGCTACCTAAGTGAAATGGTCATTTTCCAACATGATTAACTTTGTTTCAAAGGTGAATTAGCTATCCGTTTTTGCACTCAAGCACTGCTCCTTCTTTGTCCATACCAGGAATCCCGCCTCAGAAGACCTCCAAAGTGTAGAATTAGAAGCCAACAAGGACCTCATTTTTCCCATTTTCGCATTTGATGGCTGTGTTTTCACCAACTATTACTCAGAGCTAAGAAGACGAATTAGGCTCAAATCACTCGTGTGAAAACTAAAGGACCTAGGCTATCGATCCATATAAATATGGTTTGCTAAAAATGTTTTTTTGATATAGTTAATAGGGTGCGGCACACCCCCTTAAATGCTGCGGCCGCCGCAGCTTTTAACACGTTTCGGACCGCGAAATCGCGCGCGGCGAAAAAGAGGGTACTTTCAGCCATTAGCCAACAAAAAGGCCTTAATTCATAGACTTGTGCTACATCTGTAATCAGCATGTCAGATAAGATCTATACCCAGAGTTCTGAGTGAATTCTAAGCGTTTAAATTTTGTCGCCTGAGAAGGACTTCTGTGCTTTCCTGAAAGATAGGAACAAGAACTCAGTTTCTAATTGTGTCCAAAAGTATCTATGTTGTACACAGTATACATCATTACTGAAACCACGGTTTTTCACCTTGAGATAAAGCAAAGAAAAGTTGCGACGTCGCACGCGTCGTTCGCGTTGCCGCACTTCGTTGCAACTGTTGTTCGATTTGTCCTCATATCTTCTAAACAAATACCGTCGGCACAGCTCTACAGAGTCATTTGAAAAGGAGGAGCTTACGCCTTTGATTTGATAACGTTGGACAAAAAGAAAACCTCCTGCAAACATTGAAAGGATCCTTGAAAGGCGCGTGCTGCACCATGTGCAGCACCGGCCCGAAACGTGTTAAGGGGGTGTGCCGCACCCCATTAACTATATCAAAAAACAATTTTAGCGGACAGCATTTATATAAATCGATAGCTAAACCTTGTAGATTCCATAGGACTGTTTGGAGCCTGATTTAGCTCTGAATAATATTTGGTGAAAGCACAGCCATCAAAAGCGAAAAATGGGAAAAATGAGATTTTGGTTGGCTTCTGATTCCACAGTTTGGAGGTCTTTTAAAGCGGGATTTCTGAGAAGGACAAAGAAGGAGTAGTGCTTTGTCGTGAGTGCGAAAACGGATAGCTAGTTCACCGAACAAAGTTAATCATGTTGGAAAATGACCATTTCAGTTAGGTAGCCTAGTATCTTGAATAGGTAGCCTAGTATCTTGAATCTTCAGAATTCGCTCACACTTGCTACAAGGGTTATTTGACGTGCTAATTATGGATATGTTGCCCATTTTGTTTGACAGGGCCTTCAAGTAATGCTATCTTAAGTGTATAGTTCAGGTGAGGGGGGGGGGGAGGGGAGTCTTATTAAGACAGCAATAAGGGAGGGGGGGTCGTGACCAGCGATCGTGTGCCACACCCCTTGCTTCAACCCTGATCGCAACTTACACTAAAATTTAGGAACTATCTTGTGAAGCTTGCTTTATTCTATCGAGTGGAACCCACTTACAAATTTTCGTCTTCTCCTTGCTGTTTTGCCGTTAAAATCGATATTCTCTTCTTGTTAAGCTGATAGCTATCAACGCAAAGTATCCATCAACTCATTTCCCACTCATAGCTTCATTTCTTTCCAGTCAACATATCACTTATTCTACGTTTAGGAGGCGCGAGACCGCATCGCACACATTGGCCCGTAGTAAACCTCGATCATCGGAGGTGACCTCCCCTGAAGCCCATAAGTAAGGTTTCGTCAGGTGAAATGACGACCGCCCATTCCCCAAGCTCTAAGAATGCAACGTCACTTGACATGTGAGCCTCCGGTTAGGTTCGGCAGGGAGTTCACCTCCCTGCCGAGTAATCGGAGATGAGCCGAGCGATGAAATCCCGAAATAGTGTGCTAAAGAGGAGATTTAGAGGAAATTCCCGTAAGTTACTCCTGAGTAACTTACAATACACCCCTCTTCTCCTAATAATGCAGACGGATTCAACGTAAAAATGCATATGATTTTACACGTACGGCCACATCTCTGCCGCCACAGATGTGAATGATTGGCGGACGCGTTTTGACTTGTGTACCTGCTTGAACGTGAAGCACTCAATCATATCAAAGTGGATGGTTGGAATTACCAATCAATGGCTCAACTGAGGTAGAGCTGACTCGTCGAAGCCTCAAATGAGGTTCTTCTCAGTTGAGATCGACTGAGGCAGCTTTACTACGGGCCATTGTCTAAACAAGCCTAGTCGTGTATCTGGCAGGTTTATACTTGTTATCTATCTCGTCCAGGTTTATCCACTTTTTGGAAACAGGGAAGAACAAACTCAAACTTATTTAGACAGTGTCCGCAATGGAGTCTCGCGTCTCCTAGACGTAGAATAGGTAATATCTTGCTTCGCATGCTCGCAGCTCTAAATTTAACATACTGAAATATAGAGAGATAGTCTATGTAGTGCTTGAACACGACTAATGTTTTTATCTCCTAGCAGATCCAAATCGCGAAGCCAATGAGTGAACATTTTTTGGCGTTTGCAAAGAAAAAGAAGCTGGGTAAACGTGAAAGTGAGATATTATTGAAATTATCAATTCTTAATAATTCGTCAATATTCTTCATAAAAGCGCCAAAGGAAAAATTCTGTTTAATTACAAGTTAATATGTCTTTGCTCACCAGCAACATGAGTGTTCTTCATGCGCAATATTAATGCCAATCGGCGCTATTCCTGGTTTGACAGAAACAATAGCGATATTTTAAAGGTCCCAACTACAGTATAAATTCATATTATCAACATTAAAATGCGGAAAATCACGTCATGGTTGCAGCGACCTACACTATTCCTTCGATAGCTGGAGCATATAAAAGATGATTAGGAACCAGAGTATCAAGTGTTTGAAGATGCCTTCGCTGCAATATCTACTTGTGGTAAGAGTTTCATCTATGATTTTATTTTCACTATCGATTCATTCAAGATCACTGCTACCTTTCTCGCGCTTGAAGTGCGTTCTGAGGAAGCCGAATGGCCGGGAGAAGGAAGCCGTGAGTTTAACTTCGGAGCTTATTGTTCTTGAAAACCTCAATGTTCTTCAAAGATGATTGTAGTGGACTATCATCAAAGGTGTCGAACATGAGCTAGCACGTTGACTGCTTTCCATGCTTTTTAGGCATCGGGCAGAGTTCACGCGATTTGATCGTCGCGATTCAATCGCTAAGGACAAGTGACGAGTTCATTGCATGCCGATCTTCTCGTATTTCGGTAGTGTCGTGTTGGAAAACTATCACAACCGAATTACAAGAAGATCGGCATCCAATGAACTCGTAACACCTGTCTTTAGCGATTATCATCGCGACGACCAAATCGCGTGAACTCTGTCCGAGGCCTTACGTCCAAAACATTGATGAATTTTTTTCCAATCTGAAAAAAAAATTATGCTGCCCTCCTCGAACAGGAAACCTTAGCAAAGGTTTGCAGATGTCTCAAATAAAAGAAGACTTTGAAATGTTCTCAAACATTCTATAACGTCCATCTCGCTAGCACCTTAAGGGCATCGTCCACCCAGATTCTCAACTTCCAGGTTTTTGTCGTTTCAGGGCCTTCTCATGTCCCTGATTCCGAATTTGAAGTGAGAGTCCCCGAAAACTCCGACAATACTTGTTCCGGAGAACCCATCCAGGGGTTCTCATGCATCTTCGTTATTCTGGAGCGATTTCTCGCTTCCGAAACGACATTTTGGGCGATTTGGGCATTGGTTTGATGGGAGGTCCTACTAACATATGCTGCCAAAAGCTCAACACCCTCAATTTAGGATGGGCGATGCCTTTAAAACGACAAAGAGCATTGAAGAAATGAATGCGGGACTTGCTCAAGTAGTGTAGAGCTAAAGCTTAATTTTCTGGCCGGTACAATTATCAGTATAACCATGAAACTAGAAGTAAATCAAATAGAAAATACTTGGTGCTTTTCAAATGATTCAGTTCTTCTATCTTTAATTCAAAAATAAGCATAAAAAATTTAGCAAATACCAATTGCCCCCAAAATACGCAAATGAACGACACCTTGAGAGAAAACTATACGAATATGCATAACTATCGCAGGTGAGCTCAAAGGTCCATTTATGACAGTACAGTTCGCCTTTCTCAATTTTTGTTCTTATCGTAAGTTAGCACCTTCAGAGGCCAGCTCGCACGGGGACTAGTCGCAAAAGTTAGCGGACATCTCCTCCCGCCGGCTTAGAACATGATAAAATTGGTTAGTCCATTTACTTACACTAATTGTAAGAGGGGAGCAACCATGATTGTTTCAGAAATGGGACTGCAACTTGGAAAAAGAAGCGATTGATAAGGTTCGCGGATGTCCGAAGGATGTATCTAACGAAAAGCTAAAGGGAGAACTTCGTCATCGTGTGCCTGTTAAAGACGTGCAAAATTATGAAGACGGGATCAGAAACGTAAGTTTTGAGGTTTTGTTTTTTCTGTCCATATTAGCCAAACTAATGTTTTGAGGCTGTCCATAATTGGTGGAGAGTTGTACGCTTTAACGATGGCATTGGAATGAAAGCAATATTTCGAGCAAAACACGTTGGCCAGCCTATAGCGACGTTTACGCAGGTAACACGAACATCTTCGTTTTGAATACGATTGAATTAGAAGTCTTTAACTTTTCAGATGGCATGGGCAGAGACAAGAAATTTAGGATGTGCCATAGGCAAATGCTCGTCGGATTATGTGATCATTTACCGCTACAATCCAGCGTATGCTCAATAGCTTTTTCTGGCTACTCAATCACAAATGCATTTATTCAGGGGTAATGAAATTGAAAGACTCGTATACGATCCTGGAAACACCTGCAGCAGCTGTGTTCACAGCTGCGACAAAGAAAACGGATTGTGCATCGTTTGAAAGAACCAAATGATAAGTTGAAAATGCTCTTCTCTCCTCTGTGCAATAAACTGTCTGTTGTGCATTTCATTTATTAACATTGGATAAAATGCTAGACAAATTATTTATAGCCTTAAGCACAAAGTGCTCACATAAGCCATCGCGTATTTTCCTTTTCGAACAAATAGTTGGTCTAAGGCCTAAGGCATACCTCGCGCGATTCGGCTAAATCGCGACGTTCACGCGACCTGGCACTTTGCCAGTTATCTCCATATTTATCGTGCACGTTCCTTCAACACATGGACGCGTAGCTTCTGTAACTTGTTGCAAACTGATCAAGTCCTGCCTTGAAAAAGCATTTTGACGACCACTTATGAACAGCCATTCCTGTGCCAAATCGCGCAGCGACTGGAATTGCGTGAGATATGCCTTAGGGCTAAAGCGTAACGGATCTTATTGCACATGCTGCAGTTATCCTTATTAGACCAGTCATTTTTGTGGCTGCACTACTTCTTTGGTTTGCTCTGGTAAGAGGATATCGTATTGATAAACACGGCTCGGCAGGTGGGAGCAAGCTGATATCGTTTTGGCGGTGAAAAGAGGATATCGTTATCGCGGGGTGGGGACCAGAAAAATACATTGAAAAAATACAGGTTTTAGCTCCATATGGTGTACATAAAAATCGCCAATCGCTTTGTGCAAAGTCGGAGTCTCGGGGGTGATACAAAAAAAAATCAAAAAATCCTTCTGCTTGCGCAAGGCAATGAATGTTTTCAATATAAAACTGACTGATTGTGAGTAAGAAAACTTCCAGGAATTGGCCAACTTCACGCCCATCAACAAACCCCTACAAACTTTTACAGCTCCCCCCCCCCCTCTTTTTAGAAAGGAACCAAACGAATTACCCATCGTTATCTCACATGGGTCATATAGGTATTCCTAACCTTCACTTTCCCCCTCCCCCCCCCCCACCCATCATTCACCCCTTCCCCCTTTATACCTTTACTTTATATCTTTGGTGACGTCGCAAATGCTTATCGCTGCCCGCTGCCCTACTTGACTAAAGTGGCCCTATTAGAAGTAACGGAATTGTTAAATGTTATGTTACCCAGTTACGTCATAATGACCTGCGAAGCGCTTTTATAAAAGATGTCGAGGCGAATTTTTCTTTTCGGAACACCATGCCAGAGTAGGGTGCACCATGGCTTTATAGATGTTAGATTGGAACCGAAAGTTCTGTCGCATCATTTTCAAAAAATCGTAACTTCTTTTTTTGCACGACTAAAACTTTATTGAAAAGAGCGAATCATGCACTTTGTCTGCTATCCACTAAGCTCTAAATGAGAGATAAAAGTGGAAAAAGGAAATCATTTCAATTTCGCAATTTCAAGGCAAGCCTTCAAAATTCCAAAACTATGCCATAAAATCCAAAGCAGCCAGTATCCTAGGTTTCTTGATTCCGTTTTCCTAGTGAACAAGTTTCGCATGATCAAGCTTTTCTTAGAAAAGCTATAATTTCGAGAAAAAATGCCAAAAAATTAGTTTTCCAAAATTGATTTTTTGAGTTTTTTCTCGATACTCATAACTTTTCAAATAAATCGATTAGCGCCAATTTCCCTCAGCAAGAAAGAGGGGTCGAAAGCCTAGGTTACTGGTTGGTTTGGATTTTATGGCACAGTTTTGGAGCTTTCAACAGATAGCCTCAGAATTTCGAAAAAAGTGATTTTCTTCTTCCAATTTTATCTCTGCAATCAGAGCTTAGTGGATAGCAGTCGAAGGGGCCTCTACAAAATGCATGATTTGCTCTTTCCAAAAAAGTTCAGCCATGCAAAAATTTTGTGTTAGTAAGAAGTTGCGATTTTGTATAGGATAGAAATTTCGGTTCAACCTAGCAGAACAGAAGGAACAACAACCTAGCAATTTGCCCATTTTTGTTTTCCAGTGTAAATTACAATTCCGTTACTGCTGAAGTCCCTACCTCAGACACTCGTGCAACTAGTGTCTTTTGTTTTTTCAAGACAGCGTTCTGGAAAGGGTGCGGAGCTTGAAAGACCCCATTAAGTTATTTACGAAATTGAGCTTGTCATAAACGTGCCCTCAAACTTACGAATCTAACAATAAGCGATCATAAATGTTGTTTTGAGGATGGAACAGCTTCGAACGAATTTCATTGCTTGAGGCTTTTTGTAGAGCAAAATCTGGATAACAAGTTGTGAATAGTTTTTTTCCTACATATATACCCAGTGTTTTTACTTGTAAATAAGGGAAGCTTAAGTGAAAATATGTAGTCTGAGTAATTATTTTTGAAACAGATGTACACAGACACGTACACGAACGTCGGATGTACATAGAGGTAGTGATCTGAACGAGAAGATGGATTGTCTTCATTCGAATCTTTCTGAACAACTCTGCATCAGAAAAAAAGATAGTAGTGGAAGATGCGGAAGTAACTCAGAGAGCATGAATATGGCTTGTTTTAGCTGCTCCCCTTTGTTTGTCTTAAACTCAAATTGCACCTTATGTGGTCAGCATCGTTGCCATTCCTATCATCTAATAATAAGTAATTAAAATTCTCGTACACACATTCCTCTCTAAAGTTTTCCATCATTTGCTGTAGTTCAGATAGTTACTCTTTTGCAAATCTTTTCGTCCATCATGAGCTTCTAGTGAAATAAAATGACCAACTGGTGTGATCCACTTACCCAAACCCAACCTTTGGTTTATTCGAGCGGGTCTAGCTTGTGAAATTGCAAGGTTAAGCGAAAGTCATTTTCGGGAATTGTTAACGGAATAGAGAAAAGCTGAGAAGACAGGGCGAAATATTACCAAAATTCTTGACGTCTTAGTAACCTTTACGTCCCAAATAATTGCTCAAAGGAAAGACAACTAAAAGTTTTGTTTCTGATGATAAGCTGATGTTTTTGTTCACCAGCAACATAACGTTCTCATTCGACATAATTAATGTGCCTATCGGCGTTATATTTAGAAGAACATAAACAAAAATCTAATTTCGCCATAAATTCACATCTTGATTCTTAGAATTATTGAAAATGAACCACTGGGATGCAGCCAATCACGTCATGATCTCTGTAAAGTACAGTACTTTCCTGATGGTTCGTCAATATAAAAGGGAAGCGCCATAGTCGGGGTATCGAAGAGTGTCAAAATGCCTTCGCTATGCTTTGTAATAGTGGTAAGTTCATTCTAGCATCTTAAGTTAGCAACTAACAGTTCATTTCAGGTGGCCTTCACATCGCTGGCCTTAGAAGTATTGTGTGAAACAGCCATATTCCCCAAAAGTGATGATTCTGGTAAGCTTAGCTGTTGGAGCTATTTGAACTTTTTCAAAACGCATTAATTATAAGTGGGCATAATAGCAAATTTCCAAACGTATTAACTACACATTACAAGAGTTCCATAGTCTTAATGGTTTAAAATGCTCTTTATAAACAACTGCTTCTCGAGTCTCGAGCTCCACCCATCAACGGAAAAATCCATTATGCTATCTTTTTTTCAAATAAGTAGAAGACGTCTTCGAAAGTCATGCACATACCTCATGAATGGAAATTTGATCAATTTTGTACTCTCTCTCACTACTGTTCGGAAGCATATTTCGGTGGAAATTAGAAACGAAGAGAGGCGTCAGAAAGAGAACTGATTACCTAAGATTTACTCTAGTACTCTACTGTGCTAAATGTGTTCTTCAATCTCAATATTTTCTCTGCGTTGTCATTCTCAAAATGTCCAACTTACACGGAGAATGAGAATGAACGTAAAAATTTAGACAAAATGTGTGGTTACAATACAGAAATGAACGATGAGTTGAGAAGAAACTTTACGGACATGCACAACTACCGCAGGTGAGTTCACTGAGTCTTTAAAAGTCTTCACAACTTATCTGCCGTAAGAAGTAATTTCAGAAGCCAGCTCGCATTAGGAAAAGTTAGTAAACGCCAAGGCTATCTCCCAGCGGCTTCAAACATGATAAAATTGGTAAGTTTTTGGCACTTATTGGTAAAATGGCGCAAGCCCTTTTAGGAATGGGACTGCTGCTTGGAAAGAAATGCGACAGAATATGTTCGTACATGCCCGCATGAGGGATCGAAAGAAAAGCAGAGAGATTCGAGAATAGGGGAGCTCTATGCGCGTGTGCCTGTTACAGTAGGCGACTATAAACGTGGAATAAGAGAGGTAACATACTAATCTTGTTTGGGCAAAACCACCGAATCCTAGCAGCCTTTTGAGGCTCTTACTAATTGGTGGAAGGTTGTGCGTCAGGTAGCTGAAGATAGATGCATTGGAAAAGATACGACATTCTTCCCACAAAAACACGCCGAAATTAAGACATTTGCCCAGGTAAGGAACAATAACAGCTTTACTATTGTGGAATGGAGATAAAACCCATTGCTTAGCATGCTTGTTGTATAACAAATAAAAATCCACAGTTTTAGATGGCATGGGCGAAGACAACCAAAGTAGGATGTGCCATAGGCATCTGCCCTAGCACGACAGCAAAAGACAAAGAATATGTGGTTGTTTGTCGCTACTTTCCAAAGTATGTCCACTATTCTTTTTTTATTGGCCAATCGTACCTGCAGAATTTTAGGGGTAACAAGGAAAATGAAAATGTATACAGTGTCGGACGCGCTTGTAATGCATGTCCAAATGGTTACTCCTGTACTGCTCCTTTCGACTGTGACCAACAGAATTGCCAGGGATTGTGCATTTGAAGGAACTAAACGACTATTGTGCTCTTCTCAAATATAGAGCTATGAAGTGTTGCATTTGCACATGTGTTTTGACATAATGATTTAATACAGAAATGTGTCTCATTGTGCCAAATACGAACAAAGACACCCTTATTTGCCGTACGGTCATGGCATTGGCTTTTGGATGTCAGTAAGCTCGATTCGAGCCCTCATTTGACTATTTGCTTGATGTGATGGCTACTTCTAGGCTGGTTTAGCATGTGACTTTACCTACCAGTTTGCTGGTGCAGATTTCGAAAGTAGTGCAATAACACAAAGCCACTGATCAAATTAAGTCAACTGTAAAGGTGGATATAGGTTACGGTACCACCTGCATCCCACTGGTTTACGTGTGACACGAGCTGATCAGCGAAACCTTTTTGTGTTCAAAAGTTAGAGCAGTCTTCGAAAAGTTCAGAGGAAGGGTGGTGTCATATACAGGGTATCCCAAAAAAATGTGCCTACTGTTTGTTAATAACTCAACATAGATTTAAAATATGGAACGAACCGCGATTGGTCTTCATTCCTGTAGGATACGGTAGGGACTTCGAAGAGGGCTTTGAGCCATGAAAAGCCATATTTTGTCTCAAAAACCAAATAAAACAGCCTGAAAACTTTCGCGCTGGGTTAATTAGAGGGTTAATTAGAGTGACCGATTCTAAGTGTGAAGTTCGCAATTTATCATAATGCTTCATTAAAAAGTTATGCGAGGTAAGCAGTAGCTGCCGTTTTTTCAGTGTTCGCAAAAAGTGCGGTTACATCAGTTAAAAAGCTTCGCAATTTTGTACATAGTTGAGTATTGACTCAGCGTCCATGGAAACCCTATTATACAATTTTTCACTTTATTTGAAATTTTTTGGAACAATAGCTTGTTTTCACAGTTCCGAATGTAGAGTAGCACACTTCTAAGACGATTAGAATTTCTGTAGGATCACACTATATGTGGTTTGGTGTTTTTAAAGTGAGGGGGCGGGGGAAAGTTCACTTCACCAATGAGTCCGTGGACTGACGCTTTTCGGAAATTTTTCGGAAACAGTTCACTTAACCTCGTACAACTAATGGGATTCCAAACGTGAGCCTTTAGAGTTTTTGAGAGTGGTCAATTTCCCTTCCTAAACGTATTTTCCATTGCTCTGTTGCTTATAGTCAATGTAGTTACGACTAATACACGGTGCTGAGATCCAGAAAAATTCACTACGACATGCAAGTGAAACCCGCAGCACTGAACCATTGGCTCTACTCTTTCAGCAGATGAAAAATCAAGATTCATGAACTACATATTTTCTTGTCGCAAATTGCTCGCGTTCAATTATTCAGTCCAATCACCATGTTGACAAAAAGATTTATACAGAAGATTATCTTCTTGCTGCATCCATCTAATTATTTTCTCGCATAATCCAAGCAATAACTTCTTGCTCAAACTGTACACCTCAGAACTTCCTATTATAGAAGTGAAACGAAAACAATTCATCGTGCGTTAGCTACCATAACAACAACTTATAATAAAAATGAACACAAACAACATGTTACATGCAAGGCATCCAGTTCCAAATAAGGTAAAGACTTTTGTGTAATCAGAATAATTTCAATTATTGATTCCTGTCCATAAGAGCAAGTAATATACAATGCCGTGCATCTTCTGATATATGGAAGTGCCTGTTTCGGCACAACAGCTGGTCAAATTTCAACGGTCCTTCCAAGTTTTTGCTTACGGTAGGTTAATCGTTGTGCAATGATTGAACACTGTAATTAACCTACCGTGAGCAAGAATCTTGCAAGGATCGTAAAAATTGACCGGCTGTCGTACCCAAACAGGCACATCAAAATATGCATCTTGTCGAGACGGGTTAAGTACCTTTGTTCTCAGAATTGGCCTTCTTTGAAGCAAGATATGGCGATGCAACGCGAAGTTCGGCGAACTCCGGCGGAGTGCGCGGAGTGCGGTGATTTTTTTTTCACAAATTACGAGCGGTATTATACTTCCAACACCAATTTCACTACATTTGTGTTTTCAAAACTGTGTAACGTATGGTAGGTGGTTTTCATTTCCATATTTGCTTATTTCTGTATGGAGAGGCACAGAAGCGGATGCGAAAAGAGTAGAATCTTAAAATGTGAGATCCTTTTCTTACGAGGAGACCTCGACTAAGAAAGCGATGAAAGCGTTCTGACTACTTGCAAAAATCCCTGATTCAAGTAACAAAAACTTGTCTGTCAGTCACTGCAAAATTCCTTATCATTACTTATAATTAGCCGCTGATTTGTTGGTCTGTAGGTCTGTCTGTCACGAAATTACAGTGAGGAATGATTTACATTGCTTAAATGCATGTGAGAGTTGCAAAGCAAGTAAGGTTCATTTTTGAAATTACTTTGCGGTCTCCTCCATCAAAGAATGATGAAGGCCAATATCATTATGTAAGCTTACCTCTACTTTTCATGATGGCCAGTGCAAACCTCTGCGATGCAGAGGGGAAGCACTGGTTTTCATATAAGTATGTCCGTAGGATGAGTCAATTGTCTGCCGCGACCAGTCACTTCCGGTGCGGACCTCACGCATATCCATACCTTCGATACATAGAGCCATGTACTCTGGTAACCTTCACTTTGAGCGTCATGATGGAACACAACCTTCACCTGGAGAGAAGTACAGAAGTCATCCGGGGCGAAGCCCTGGATATTATGACATAACTAAGACATAACCATATAGGGATGAATGTGAATGAGGTAAATATAGTAGTGAATCCAAAAGAAGCTCAAAAAATCGAAGGATTGCGTTTTTTATGGAAAGAAAATCCTTTTTGCTGTTTTGGTTTTACTCAATCAAATAGAAACTAAGACAAAATTTCTTAATTAACCTTTCTCTAGACCGCAACTGAGCGTTGGAAGTTCATGAAAGCCGCTGGAGTTCAATCAAAACGAGAAACTGTGCTCAAATCTTGCACAGAGGGTTGCCACATAAATGCTGGTCTATCTCGTTACGGAGTGATTTTCAAGACTCGCAACGTTATCAGTGCTCCTGGCCGTCTCTTGAGGATCACAGCGATGTATTACGTTATAGGGTTTCGTTATGATACCGCGGAGATCAATGACCAGAGCCAAATGCCCCGCCGGCTCTGGCCTGTCTGGCCGCTGCTCGTCTGCGTCTCCGCGCGTTGCGCGCTACCTCGCTACCTCAAATGCGGGGCGCGGGGAATTTGGCTCTGGTACCTTTTTCTTCGTTGTTCGGAGCCCAATAACGACAATCTATATACCATAATAAAGCTCTTAATCTCTATTCACGCTGACAACGTCGCAAGACTTCTTTTTATGATTCAAACGATAAATCTGGAAAAAACGACCTTTTCGAAAACCTTTTCTTTTTTCTTCAATTCAACTCTTTTCACTTGGTTTTTTGTGTATTCGATGAGTTTTGTTTCTGTCTATGATGTAACAACGTCGCTTACTTCTTTGCTTATGCCGGTTTTTTTTTTGAAAATTTCTAAAAAGTGCGTTTTTCTTTCCTTGTTCTCTTTCAGTGCTTTTACAACGAATTCTCTCCAGCTTGGACGATACTCGCTCAAAATAATGAGCGGAAGAATCCAGACAACGTTACAGGATACGAAACGACTATGCAGGGGTGAAAATTCAAAGGACGCATCAAAAATCATTGGCGTCGATGTGCAAGATATCTTTTCAGACGTGTTCAACATGTTCAATTCAGTTGTTGACAAGTTTTCCTTCTTTCGGTCTCCCAACTACTTCACAGCTAAACAGCGCTTTTCTAATTGGAAAAGAACTTTATTCTTGTTGCCACTCAATTTAACCGGCAATCCTGATGAGGAAACTATGCGACAAGTTAAGGTTTCAAATTTGGTGATCTGCTAACCTCTGCTTTATATGATTTTTTCAAGTTTCCTGGTTTAAGTCATATCTCTAAATTTCCATCTATTTTTCTGAAACAACCTTCACACGAAAATGCTTGTGTTTCATGAGAAGATTTGGAAATTATTGAGAAACTTTCTTACAACTCTTTAGACGTACAACGCTGCTCAGGCAGTGGTTCGGCAGAAGTAAACATCAAGATCTTGATGTGATAGATTGCTTACCTCCCAAACATGAAAACAAAACAAGCTCAGTACCCTCACCCGGCCGAAAAAATTGCCTCAAACCCGTGCGCGCAAGCTTTCCTTACATGCGCTCGGTTGAGCTCGCGAATTCCCTCCATCGTAAGGGGCGGCATGCCGCAATGTTGTAGCCACAAGGGTCCCGTGGCGAATCTGCGCCTCTAACCATGGCAGGAGCTGTTTTTCACTCGCCCAAATTCAAAAGACGGGCCTCGAGAAATGCTGTTTTTTCATTATTTTCGCGCTTTACATAGTGGATGTTTGATATCTGTGCATGGGATAACCTCAGGTAAGCGAAAAATCCTCAAGTCGAGGATTTGCCGAGCCGCTGCCTTCAAAGTGTATAGGTTTAACTAACAACGAATTTTGTCGCACGCAAGCCTTCTTTGAAGGCTGTGTCCAGGCAAAGCTGGAGCATGGGTTTTTCACCTGGAAATCGAAGAGGGGGTTCTAACTTAAGCACTGCCCAAACGGCAGCGCAAATGGTTCTTTCGCGGCTAAAAAACCGTCCCCAAAAAGACCGCGCCTGCGCCGTGAGCGTAACCTGAAGACGACTTCGCTCACTTTAACACTACGTTCGTGCTGGGACCTAAGTGTTACGGTTACGGCGCAGGCGCGAAGTGATTGGGAATGGATTTCTCATCCGTGAAGGAATCATTTGTGCTGCGGTTTCGGCAGTGCTTTAACTGGAAATCCTCATCAGTTCCCAGGCAAAAAACCCATGTGCCCAGATTTGCCTGGACACTGCCTTTGAACCAACCTGAATCGGGATCCTCAGCGACTTGTCCCCAAGAATAGGCCAACCTGAATCGGGATCCTCAGCGACTTGTCCCCAAGAATAGGCTCTCAGAGTTTGTTGGCCGTATTCATCAACGAATCGTTGAGGGCAGGGTT